CTATAAATTATCTACAACACATACGTTTCCAGTATCACTGGGAATAAATCAGTTACAGAATAGTTTTGTGAAAGCATATTTATTGGTGGTTTCTCCTGCCCCCTTTACCTGTTTGTTTTGGGCAAGAGCATCCATGTCGTGGGAACAGTTCATCTGAGAGAGATATGACAACCCTATCCTGACTTCATCTAGTCAATTCATTTTCCTAGTCCTCTTTCAGCCATGTTTTGTTTCTTAAGATACTTAGCACAGCCACGACTGGCCAGGGATAGCTTCCAATAGGATAAAGAATGTGGCCCAAGATCCAAAGGAAAACTGGCATTTTGTAGAGGGAGACAGGAGGTGAGAGAGGCGACCACGTACCTAACATTGCTCAGTATAATCGGGTTTTTGTTGTGCTCGTGACACGGAAAGGGACGTGGCTGCAGTAAAGGATGATGGGGCATCTGGAAGCATGGAGCATCCCTTCATACAGACATTAAACACCACCATCTTTTCTTTTACATCGGCTCTGGGAGTTGAACTCAGGTCCTTGTGCTTGTACTCTAATGACTGGCTGAGCTAGTAATCATTATTCTCAAATCGACCCGAAATATTTTAATTTTTGCAATGAACAGTAATGATAGGGTTTTTTTTCTTCTGTTTTTCTTTTTGCCCTCCCTTGTCTACCCTCCCCCACCTTCATCACCTTGATTTTTGCAGCTTCCGTTTCAACTCCTCCTACCGTATCATTATCTATTCCCTAACTTTGTGTGTTTTCCTCTCTGCAGTTGTTAAATACCAGCAAGTGCTTTGTTGAATTTTCTCTCTATGAATCTATGAATATTGATCAGTCTCTCTAGTTGCCAGAAACAGAATTTAGGCCAGATGGTTCAAACAAATCTATTCATTAAAGGGTATTTGGAGGCTCACAAACCCTCCTGGAATGCTTGGGAACTCAGCTTAGATATCCAGCTAGGGGCAGAGTAGCTAAAATGCCCAAGTCTGTGCTTTCACAGGTATCCATGGCTACTACTATTCTTGCTCGGCACCCAAGATGCTCAGGACCACTCAGTCGGCGCCACTATGGAGATCAGCATTGGCAGCCTGTATTATTGCTTTTGCCAAAAATTGCTTGCTTAGTGTTTGTTGAATACTGCCTCAAATGGCAGGTAATAGTTTTGACTAGTGGATCATTGTCATGGGCAAAACCTCTAGATGACTGTGTGTAAATGATACTCATAATTTAGAAAAAATAGAAATGATTGGATCTGATTTTGAATTGCCCAGCCTATAGTTCATTACAACACAACAACACTTGAATGTAAGTATTTTCATTGTCTCTGTTTCAACTTTCATTTTCTGATACATTCTTTGTCCCCCATGTGCTTGCTCTGCTTCTCTTACTTTTACGTTGTTTTGTTTGCTGGCTCTTTTGATTATCTTCTGCAGTAGATTCTCTCCTGGTCCAGTGTCTCTTGGAAGGCTTAAGGAACAGCAAGGTACACAAGATGAGTAATAGTTCCGCGCACCAGCATTGTGTCTGTGATGTCATTTAGCTTGTAGCTCTTTTGGCTTATCAGAGACTGGAACCTGGAGGAATTTAAAATGCAAAATTTTCTTTTCTTGTGCCTCTTTGTATGATTTCATTTTCAGTCCTACCTTCTATTTCTTGACTTGTGAGCAAATGAGCACCAGTAGTGGCCTTATTGACCTGGCTATGCACCTTAGCATCTCTCCTACCCAGAAAAGTGCACTCTGCCTACCCTTCTGAGAGCTGAAATCCCGGGTTTCACCTTTCTGCTCCTGGCACAGCCTTCTTCAGGACTCTGCTGTTTTTGGATGCTGCTTCTCAGCTTGTGGTTAAACATGTCTGAGAGTTCCATTAAATATGTGGCTTACAGCTTTCTTTTTATTCTCTTGTGGGTTTGTCTGATTTATGAGAAGTGGGAGGGGGATGGATGATTTCACACAAACATTTTCAAAACCTCTGCTCTTCTAGAAATGATTTATGCGGTTCTTTGTGCACATCTGTTATTGGCTACTGCCTCTCTTGGTAACCTTCGTCTGCTGGGATGGTCTAGGCTTCCATCCCATTCCTGAGAACATCTCTTGTCTATAATGTGCACATGAAGTCCCAGAGGGAGACACTTACTGATGACTCAGCCTTACTTCTGCATTTCCAGGCTGTCTAGGACCAGTCCTTGCCATCTGCTTTGTCCCTATGGTGGTTCAAATGAGAACTATCCTCTATAGGTTCACATAATTGAGTACTTGTATGGTAGTGCTGTTTGAGAATATTACGGAAACTTCATGGAGTGTAGCCTTGTTGGAGGAAGCATGTCACTTAGGTGTGGCCTTTGAGAATATGTAGCCCCCACCACCCAGTTCTCTCCTGCTTTCTGTGTGTGGTTGAAGATGGAATCTCTCAGCTTCGCATTCTGTCCACCTGCTGTAATGCCTCCTATACCATTATGGAGTCCCCCTCTGGAACTGTAAGCCCAAATAATTATTTCTTTCTTAAATTGCCTTAGGTCATGGTATTATGTCACAGCAACAGAAAACAGCTAATACAGTCACTTAGGTATACACTAGGCATCTCAAAGTAATCATGTCCAAACTTACATCCCTCCCCATCACCACACGCATAACAACACTGTTACAGGTCACTGGGGACTGGGTCTGATATCTTCAGGTTTTTGGCCTCTTATCTAAAGAACTGAAAATAAGGGTTCACGCAGATTTGCAAATGAAGCAAGCCAACTTATTTGTTTACTTTTCTCTTGCTATAAAAAGACACATGACCAAGGCAACTCAGAATGAAGAGTTTGTTGTGGGCTTCTAATAGTTACAGAGGGTTGGCATCCATGATGCTCACGGTGGGAAGCATGGCAGCAAGCAGGAAGTCATGGACTGTAGCAGTGGCTAAGATCTTACACCTGGAGAAGCAAGCACAAAGGAGAGGGAGGGAGAACAGACAGACAGACAGAGACAGAGAAAGAGAGACAGAGACATACAGAGAGAGAGAGAGAGAGAGAGAGAGAGAGAGAGAGAGAGAGAGAGAGAGAGAGAGAAATACATTGGGAATAATGTGAGCTTTTGAAATCTCCAAGCCATTTCCCAGTGACACATCTCCTAAAACAAGGCCACACCTCCTAAACCTTCCAAACTAGTTCCACCAAGTAGGGACCAAGTATTCACATATATGAGCTTGTGGGAGTTATTCTCATTCAAACCATCATACTAACTTCATTCAGAATGAAGTTATAATACTGGGCACAGTTTTACATTACTGTGAAGGCACCTCAAACTGGTTCAAGCAGGATCAGCCCAACTATTCTTCATATCTGCAAATGTTGGAAATTGAACTTGGATAGACCAGGGGCATGTGAACTTACACTATTATTCAGAGATGAGAGTATGTTTAACCTACTGCAGGTGGTGGGGAGACTGAGAGAGGTCTCAGGTTGCTATATGCATTGTTTGTAGGTGTGTGTGTGTGTGTGTGTGTGTGTGTGTGTGTGTGTGTGTGGTACATGCAGGTGAAGGAACTAGGCTGTCAAATGCATTACTGCCAGAGGGAGTGTGGGTAACCAATAGCAATTGCAAGTCCCAGGATACTAAACTCCATCCTATTCTTGCTTAACTCAAGAGCACTTTTTTATCCAGTTGCTCAGGTTCAACCCTGAAATAACCATGCAGCCCTCTCCTTGTTTTTGCTACTTTACATTAATGCTTCCCAACTAGTCTGTCAGTTCTGTCTTCAGTAGAGATCCAGAATTCTGCCATTTCCTTTGGCTCCCTCACAAGGTCCCAGTCCATTCCACCATGTCTCTTCTCCTGTGACTCTGACAAAGCTCTCTTAGGTGGGTTCCGTCAGTTCTGCTCCATGATGGTCTAGTTTGCATTCTACCATGTATGTGCTGTCAGATGTTAAATCATGCTCTCTATTCTCTCTTTGCTCCAATGGCTTCCCTGTACACGTAGGAACTAAATCTAAGCTGGGCGTCAAAGAAGCCCTTACTGCTCTGGTGTCTTTTCCCCTGTACCCTCTAAGTACCCTCTATGCACCCTCTAAGTACCACACTGGCCTCCTGGATGACACTTAATCACCCCTATACCTGCTCTAAGTCATTTGCGTCTGCTATTTCTTCATCCTGGAACACTCTTCCCCTAAACACTTGCCTGGTTTTCTCACTTACATTCTTTAGAACAGCCTCCCATTTCCATCCCATATAAATTTGCCATCCTAATTAAGCCACCTTATCTGATTTAACTCTAATTGCTTCAGTTTTCTTCATAACATAAACCAACTTATATCATGAGGGCAACCATGTGCATTAATATATTGCTTATGTTCTATGTCATCTCCAGAATTTGGGGAGCTTGACCCATCTTCCATTCTGATGGAAACCCTGCATTTAGGGCATTTCTGTACAATATTAAAATAAATGAATGACTAAAAGTGTCCATCTCATGTTCCTAACCTGTGAAGTATAAGGATGGATTATTAGACAAATCACTTTGTTTCTTGGTATGGAATAGTCATCCACCTGGCACAAAAGCCCATTTCCACGCCCTGAGAGGTTTGTCTGGGAGTGTAGGGCATTGGGAGTTACCCTTTCATCCTGGCCTCTGTGGTTGGCAGAATCTGGATTAGGACCCTAGTGATTAAGCAGAGGTTACATGCTGAACTACCACATATCCACAGGTCCTTGAGACATCAGCATCCCCTTCTTGGACTGTCTCACTCCCACAGCAGAACACTCTGCATGTACTTGGTTTCCTACACCCAGAAATGGGGATCTTTCTGGCATTCAAATTTACTCATATCATTCTCTTCCTTGAAGCCCCCGTGTGGAACTCATTCCACAGGCAACGAATGCCCATGTTTCTGTGGACTGCTTACATACTCTCTCTTGTTCATTCTAGCCCAGCTTTGAGGCATCCCTAACATTACTAACTTTTGGCACTTCATTATTCACTCACACATTTTTCTCTTGTATTTTCCTCCTCCCCAGGGATCTCATATGTTTTTCTTCTGTTCCATCTGTACACAATCTTCCTCATGACACCTGTGGTATAAATCTCACACTTCCTTGAAGACTCAGCCTGGGTACTGTCTTTCCTACAAGACTTTCCTGGGCATTCTCCTATGCCAGTGTATGAAAAGAAAGAGGAGAGGAGAGGGAGAGAAGAAGGAGAAGAAAGAGAAGAAGGAGAAGACAGAGAAGACAGGAGAAAGAAAGGAAAAAAGGAAAAAGAAGAAAGAAAGAATGAAAGAAAAGAATAAAGAAGAAATACCTAAAGGACACTAGGCATGAGTAATAGAAGAAACCAGAGAAAATCAGAAAGTAAATGTAAATTGAGAAATAAAACACAATGGAGACGAGGCAAAGAAAACTCAATTTACATGCTTCCATGGACTGCCCCTGGGATTTACAGTTTGAGAAATTACTGTTCTGAACCAGCAACCATGCTACTTTCATACCACCATGCTAGCCTACTACGTGTGTCACCTCTCGCTGGAAACAGTGACCTCCTTGTAGACCTACTGTGGCAGTAAAGCAGAGTAACCACAGCCTTGTGAACACTCCTTGTCTGGGTGGATAAAGTGTCTTATCCACAAAGTGGATCGAGAGATCAGAAAGAGAAAGTCATCTATTCCATGTAGGGAGAATCGGAAAGGAACCCATGGAAGGCTGCTCAGAGGAGGGGCATTGTAGGTGTTTGCTGAGTACACAGGGGTACTCTGGAATGGAAGCGAGGATGTAGATACAACAAATGCCTGCTTGTTGAGCACAACAGCACAGGGACTCTCTAAAGTGCTTCATCTGAATCTTCTCATCAAATCTTTAACTATTGGGGATGACAGGTTTAACTGATTATCAGTTTCCCAGACACAAGAATGTGAGAAGTTTCCCTAGCGTCCCCAAGGTCATACAACCAGGCACTAGCAGAAGAGGCTGCTGACACCAAGTTTCCCAGCACACACTTACTCAGTGTCCCTGTCCTTCTTGCAGAATTCTGTTCGATCAAAGGCTCAAAGCAGAGAAGTAAACGGAGTATTTGGGAAGACACGGACCCTATTGTAATGAAATCGGACTGAGAAACCCGAACTCCAGTTTGGTTTCTAGGACAGTGTTGTTTCTATTCCACTAGCCTGCCTCCAGCAAAGAACACAATATTTAAAAATCAATCAAAGACCCAAGCCAATAATGATTATACGAGCAAAGTGATTGATATTATTTACTCCAGCTAGATTAAAATGTTCCCTAGGAAAAAAAATCCATAAAGACAACATGAGTCATTATGTAAAGCTATGTGGGAGCCTTCCAGATAATGAAATGGGTATCATAAATTATTTCTGCTTCTGTAGAGAGGGTAAATCCTTGTTATCAATTTAGCAGGTCTAGAAAACAGTGGAATTACAGGGGCCATCACACCAGACAAAATTCACCTTGTCCCAGACTCTAACGCCCTCTCATTGTCCTTCCTAAGTGAAGTCCTTCCAGAGTCCATTAAGCAAAGCCTGGATTGAAGAATGGCAGAGAAATGTGTGGGAAGGGGGAGCTCCTCTCTCTAATACTGACAGAACTCCTCATGTGAAAAGAAAACTGCAGGAATCAGAGCCTGGGTGCCAGGAGGGCACCTGTCAAACTTCTGGGTGACAGACGTTGTTTATCATTATGTAACCTGTGGTGACCTTCCTTGTGTCACTCATCTTCATGATTTATTTGTCCCATCACTGACACCCCAGATACCCAAGTCTTATTTCCCGGTGAGGTATGGCTCCATGTATCTGCATAGGTCAAAGAATGAATGTTTTATCCCTCCAGCCCCAGAGGAGATGTAACTGTATTTGTTGATACCACATATGGCTTTTTCATCATTCTCCGGGGTAAGCGTGTGATGTTGGATGTATCATTTTTTTGTGAGCCTAGTTTTTCTATCTACAAGAAGACGATAACAGTATATTCCCTCCCATACAATTATTATAAGACTTCCACGAGGCCCTGCTAGTTAGTTTTTATGTCAACCTGACACAAACGAGAGCCACCTGGGAAGTGGGAACCTCAGTGGAGGAATTGTCTCCATCAGGTTGGCTTGTAGGCAAGTCTGTAGAGGAATTTTCTTGGTTAATTAGTGTGGGAGAGCACAACTCGCTGAGGTGATACCACCCTTGGGTATAAGAAAGCCGGCTGGGCAAGCCATGAAAGCAAGCCAGTAAGCAGTGGTCCTTTGTGGGCTCTACTCCAGTTCCTGCCTCTAGATTCCTGCTTGAGTTTCTTCCCAAACTTCCCTCAGTGGTGGACTATAAGCTATAAGATGTCACCAACCCTTTCTTCCTCATGTTACTTTTGGTGATGACGTTTATCACAACAATAGAAAGAAAACTAATCCACAAACCTTTCATTTTTGTCCCAGTACAGGGTAGATATGTCATCACCAATAATTACTACGATAACTTTAAGATACACACGTTGCACTCGATATTCAGTATTGTTTGAGTGAACAAAAATACGAAAGAATATGGACTGTAAACTTCACGAATTACTCCTCCCAACCTAGGTTCTGTTTTTTGGAGCCTTGTCCAAATCATCTGTTACATGTTACATCTGGAACAGCCCCTCTAAGCTCACGCGTTGAAGGCTTTGCCTGAGCTGGTGGTGCCATTGGAAGGTGCAAGAAGTTAGGAGCCTAGTTGGAGAATGCAGGTTGTTGTGTTGTGTCCTTAAAAGACCTTCTTCTCACTCTCTTCCTGGTGTTTATGAATTCTCAACATCTTTTCTTCATCAGACACTATTGCCATGATGCACTGCCTTCCTAAGGATGCAAAAGCAACTGAGCCACAGAACTATGAACTAATACCTCTGAAACTGTGAGTCAAAAAGAAGTCTCTTCTCCTTTTTGCTTATTTATCCTGGGTACTTTGTCATAGCAACATACAGCTGGTTAACATGGCATCCAAAAGGAAGCAAGCACTGGTACCACAACAACTTTATTAGAAGTCATCCATAAAGCAAAAGGAGCTTATGATATTTGCCAGTAACTGAAAAAAATTTATTTTCCAAATCATTAAATGTTATTATTGAAAGTCACAATGAAATGACCTGAACCCTGAAGCATGAGACATCATAAAACTCTCACAAAAACTTAAAGGGACCACTTCCCTTTTGAAGAGTCGTTCATGACCACAAAATGAGAATGTGCCTCTCTGGAAGGCACAGCTAGTTCACTTTGATTTGAGAAGGGTTAAGTTAGTAATTCTTATGTTGAAACCATTCAATGGAGCTCCTGGTGTGTGTGTGTGTGTGTGTGTGTGTGTGTGTGTGTGTGTGTGTGTGTGTGTGTGTGTGTAGTGAGAACACATTAGATAACTGACAACAACCTGGCCCAAATTCCACCTCCTTTTTACTCTTTTATACAGGACCACTCTAGTATCTTTATTTCCCAACATCTAAAGCTGTGCACTGTCATAGAAGAGCTTGGGCGATGCTTGCAGCCTCGACAGCCAGGGTATCTTTGAAGTGAAGAAGGACTCAAGGGCAGATGGAATCTGTGTCATTTATTTGTTACTGAAAGTCCTTAATTAGACAAATCTTGCCCAAGGAATATCCGAAGCCAGGTCTCTTGCCCATGCAGTGAGGTGTCAGATTCCAAGTTTGCAGTGAGAATCACTAATCAATATATAATGTGAAACATTGGCTGGCTCTCCATCTTAAAATGTTCGCTCTATTCCTATTTCTATACCTTGAATTTTCCCTCTATAAGGAGAAATTTTCAAGCAAGGGGACAGTCCGTATGATAAGCATGAGTGCCTCTATTTCAGCTGACGTAAGCTGTAAGAGCTGCCAACGTCCGTGAGGTAGATTTGGTCTCTCTCTCTCTCTTGAGTCCTCTGTGGATGAAGGCATTAAAATAACACTTCAACGAGAGAAATATTCTGCTCTTTGGAATATTAAATTGGAACCTGAGATCCTGGGTTGATTCCTTAAGCCTTTTCCTTTTCTACCAGGAACCTGAAGTCCACAGAAAGAAAGGAATGTGCTGGAGACCCTAGAACTGGCTGGAAAATGCACTTGCTATGTCCATTTTCTGTAGCGGTCACAATAATCGGACTTCGTAATGGCAACAGCCCCATTTTAACAGGAGAGTAACAGCGAGAACCCAGGGAGATAGTATAAGACTTGAAGCCAGACAGCCCGAGTCTGAATCCTCCCTCTGTTTCTTAATAGCTGTTTGTTTTCTGAAATATTGCTTAAGCTCTGGCTTGCTCAGTTGTCTCCTGTGACTACAGCACCTGCCTGCTTGGTGCTCTGAACTTTTCCATGAAGACAAACACCATCAGAACCACATAGGCAATTACTAAAGTGGGCTGGAAGATGCATGCCTGCTTGACCAATGGGAGCTGTAGGTCAAGTGATACGTTAAGGTCCAGCTACGACACAGGAAGAGTGTGAAGTTCCACATCTACAATGGATTAGCTGCAGATACCGGACAACAGTAATTGCCTACATTTTCTGAAAAGTTCAGAGCACCAAGCAGGCATGCATCTTCCAACCCACTTTAGTTAGTTAGTGGCTTAGAAGGTAAATTTTATACCTCTTTAATATTTTTTCTACGTTCCCCTACCTTTTATGAGGAAACCAGAAAGGCTATGGAGGTGATGGTGGACCTGTCTGACAAAGGCTTACAGTGGGATATTTGGAGAGTAATGTGATGTGTGTTCACAGCCTCTGCATCATTTGGACACTTGGACACAACTTTAGAAAGAAGTATTACCTTTAGTAATCCTACTAGTGTATGTGACCCGTTCTCAGCCCTTCAAGTTCAGCCCTTCATAGTTGATCTGGCTTAGGGAGGCTAATATAATATTCCATCCTGGAAAAACTTGCCCTTGAGGAAGATGCCCCTGTCTAGTACCTTTATCATTTTGCCTTGTAACAAGGGTGGATAGAGCTGGGGAAAATCTTGAGAGGTAAATAATTTCATGAGAGGTGTAAACACTTAATGAGAGGACCATGTGTCCAATTCCCAAGCCTTTTTACATTCCACTAAACTCTATTATATTGCTTTATGTTCTAATTGTAGATGAGCCACCTGACATATGTCTTGATAAAATTCAAGCACTTACTAAGCTCATATTATATGTGTAACACATATGTATAGTGTATGTGTCCATATACATGTATGTAAATCCACCCACACACATATACGTATGCTTACCTAGAGAAACAAACTCTGTGTGATGAAGGCCATATCTGGATCATTCTCATTCTTTCTGGTTGCCTAGTACTCAGCACAAAGCCTGGCACCTGCATATATACATGACTTATGATAGGAGAGATTCCATTACTGATGTTCTTCAGAGAGGAATGGAATCTACATTCCTGTATTATTCAAAAGGAAACCACTGGACAAGCTCATGAGAAACAAGTGTCATGCCTTAGATCAGTGATCTGTGGCCACTGGGACTGGATGTTCTTTACATATTGTCCTTCCCATTTTATCTTTCATGTGATATCCAGCCCAGGCAGGACCTGAAACAAGTGTTCTGTGAACATACCAATTGCTCCATCTCCAAGAGAAGTCCGTAGGCCCCTCCTCTTACCTTCATGCAGACAATCTGACATGCTCCATGACAGATTGTTTTTAGAAAATTTTCCATTCGCCTGTTTTGATAGGGAAGGTTACAGGTCTTCAGCTGTCATTCATGCGTTGACAAGGCTCTGCCAGACTCCTCCCTGTCAGTCACCTCCCACAGTCAGGGACATTTATCTGTCTGGATTTTTGAAAGGTTACAGAGACCAATAATAGGAAATGTCTGATTGCTTCAGTCCTGGAGAGAGCTGTGTATATTGCAGTTAATATTTGAGGGCATGGCAGAGTGTAACCCATGGAGGTCCCCAGTGATCTTAAGAAGCTGTTCAAGTAGATGAAAATGGAAAGTTTATAAGCCTGAGTTCAATGTAACACGGACTTTCAGATGACAAGGAGGATGTACTTAGTTATGAGGTCAGGGATTAGTGACTCCTGCCTCATCTTGACCTTTAGAGGGTTACGAATAAAGAATCCGACTGTCCCCAACTCAGTTTATGAAATGAGAGGCTTATCCTGGATAATTGAAATCCCAGTCAGATCTGATGTCCTGATTTTTTCAGATTTTTCAGGAAGAAAGAAGTACCTCTGTGCTCTCTGGACTGGCAGAGGTGGGCAGGCTGAGGATACGGGTATTGGCAGATATTGGATGTTCGGCAGGTACATATTGGTGCTGGATCTTTGGACAAGTTCCAAGAGAACCAATCTCAGCACACACAACTCTACCCAGAAATGCTGGGACAAAAGACTTTCTCCACAACCTGAGTCCTGCAACTGATCAGACAAAAGCAACTTGTGACAGTTTGTCACCTCGTGAACGTGAAGGCAGCCACTGCCTTCTGGGCAAGCTGCCATCAGGCATTGGGAAGCTGTTCTGTGCATAGTTCTGGGGGGAGTTGATGACTTGTTTTCCCCAAAGAAAGCCTGGGGCAGTAGAAGGATAAGAGGACCATCCAAGGAGCAGGAGCAGATCTACCTATCTATCATCTATCTATCTATCTATCTATCTATCTATCTATCTATCTATCTATCTATCTATCTTTCTATCATCTATCTATCTATCTATCTATCTATCTATCTATCTATCATCTATCTATCTATCTATCTATCTATCTATCTATCTATCTATCTATCTATCTATCTCTATTTGATGGAGGGTCTCATGTAGCCCAGGCTAGCCTGAAACTTGTTTTGTAGCCAAAGATGATCTTTCTCAACTCATCTCTGTTCCTGTGTCTCCTGGGTGCTAGGATTTGAAAGCAGGAACAGAATTTTTGGATACAAGTTATGGAATGGATGTTTGTATCTTCTAAAAATTAATAGAATAAAATCCTAACTTCCAATGGAAGTATTTATCCCTTTCTTTCATGCATCTTACAGCTGGGCAGAATGTCTGCGGGCTCTGAGTGCAGTGCCACTCTAGAGTCCTTTGGGAAGGTTGGCAGCTCCTTCTTCCCTGCTGTATTGCCTACTCATTCCACCTGCTAATCTGGTTTTACCTTCCATGATGTTTACCGACAGATATCAGTGGCACTTCTTTCTTCTGTTTTCAACTTTTCATTTGTTATTTTCTTCTTTTTTAATAAATGGTAAGATATCAGAAAGAAGGGAATAAATCTCTATGAATTTATTTCACATTCAGACAGCTCTGTAAAATTCTTTTACGTTTCTTCTTCCAATGAGTAAATACTTTCCAAAGGACTTATGAGACAAATACATGGATCCATAGTTTGCTGTTTATGGAGGTGAGGCCTCATTCTCTGAACACATCGTGGGCTACCAACATGGTTCTAGTCTGATTAAGCAAATTAAATATACACATTGCTGTGTTCATAACACTGGCCATTCATTGAGGGCAGGGAGGACTTGGAATTCACCACTGGGTCTCTGATTTTTGGAAGAAACCCAGCACAGACTACTTCTTATACACAGAGCAGCCATAAGGATTGGAGGTCTTTTGGTTCCATTTTAGAACTGGATTGTCAAGTAGCTATTGTCTTTCTCCTCAGCCCCCCACCCCCATGGCAGACCATCTTCATTAATGTTCAGCATGCACTAACTTAGAAAAAAAAATCTCTTAAAGCAGTACATTTCCCCAATCTTAATTTTCTCACAAACAATGAGCCCATGTTCCTTAGTGGCTAACTCCTTTCCTGTACCATAAGTTTTAGAAAGTCCAAGTTATCCAGACATTAACTGATTAGTTACATAGGCAAGGGAACTGATTCTTGATCCTAGAGATACAAAACTATAGTTTTTATAGATGTAATTTCTAATGTTTTATACATGTCTGCATGTTTCCCAAAGGAGTGCTTGATATATGTGTGTGTGTATATATATATATAGATATCTATCTATCTATCTATCTATCTATCTATCTATCTATATATATATATCTCACGTCAATGATTATGTATGTAGTTACTAGCACAATGTAAAATTCCTAAAAAAAAAATCAAACATGAATTTGAACAGTATTCAGAAGTCACAAATAGAGGCTGGAGAGATGGCTCAGCAGGTAGGAACACTGGCTACTCTTCCCAAAGGTTCTGAGTTCAATTCTCAGCAGCCACATGGTAGATCACAAGCATCTATCATGTGGTCTGATGCTCTCTTCTGGTGTGCAGATGTACATGTAGATGAAACACCTATACACATAAAAATAAATAAACAAATATTTCAGAAGTCACAGTAATACAGTTACCTGCTCACTTCTCTCAGGTACCTTTTTTTCTTCTTTCTGGAATTGCCAAAGCCAACAAGAGCTCTCGTGCATACCTTATGTGTCATATGACTATATGTCATGGTTGTGACGTAAGAAATAAAGGCTTATTACCCCATTGTTTGTATTCCGGAATAGCTTCCAGAATGCAAGGTGACTGAGTGAAAGATCTGGAGGACTCTGAAGGGACTGCACAGTGATACACCAGGCATTAAGTAATCTGAAGGAATCTGGTCAAGATCCACTTAACTTTGAACCAAGTCCAAGCAAGCACACCTGCTTCTGAATGCTCCTTTTATGGAGATTATTTTCTAAATGTGAATGAAAGAGCCCAGCATGCTGGTATTTTAGGTGTTAGACATGAGATCCAATGGACATTACAGGTAGAAAGATACCATTGTAACATAACATTCATACTGTCCAGTGGAAAGGGAATGGGTTTTCAGACCACTTAAGGAAATTTCTCAGTTACTTTGAACTCTTCACAATGAATACGTTTGAAGAACCTACTTGCTAAAAAGAGTGTGAGAAGAATTTTAGAGGTCATAGATATGTTTACAGCTTAGGTTATAGAGATGGTTCCGAAGACTCTTTAGACTCATCTTTAGACTCGTCAGGTTGACTCTATTAATTGGGCATAGCCTTTGGTGCCTCAATACTACTTCTATAAAATGTTTTAAAAGAGAGGTATTTATAATTGACCACATTAAACCCGAGTGTTGTGATTTCATTTTACACGCTATACTTAATAGAAACATTTTCTGTGAGAGGGGAAAGGTGGCACATCTTTCTTTGGAATGTGCTTGTAACCGAACTGTCCCGGGGATATCGCTGTGGGCTCTTAAATATTGCAATGCACCATAGTGTACTTTCTTGCAATGAACAGCACAAACATTTGCATTTTAATGTGCACTATGGATCTCAGTTAAAGATCTCTCGAGTCTGTTTAAAGACCGTTTCCTTCTTGCATTACAACCTCTTTGGAAATACCAATGTTACAGCTGTGATAACCTTGCAAGGACTGAGAGTGGATAATCACAGGGACTTAATTACAGACAATGACAAGGTACTCAGAGCAACCCAGCATGGAACTGAGGAGGGGCAGGAGATGTCTGATGTCAGAATTGGCTGCGCTGATGGGAGGAAGGGAAGAACAATGACTTGGGGTTTAAGTTTTCTTTTTAATTTTGGAAAGATTCGCCTTTTGTATGAATCAATAAACTAATCCCTCAAGAAACCACTAATGAAATAAAACTATATACAGGCAACCAAAACCCAAACCAAAACCAAACAAAAAACTCACAGAAGATATAAAACAACAGGAATGTGGTTGGTAGATTTAAACCGGACTATACTGATAGATGTGAAATCTATTTATCTATCTATCTATCTATCTATCTATCTATCTATCTATCTATCTTTCTACATATCCATCCATCCATCTATCTACCATCTATCCATCCATCTATCATCTACCTAACTTTCTTTCTTTCTTTCTTTCTTTCTTTCTTTCTTTCTTTCTTTCTTTCTTTCCATCCATCTACCATCTATCTGTCTATCCATCTATCATCTATCTATCTATCTATCTATCTATCTATCTATCTATCTATCTATCTATCCATCTATGTATCTATCAATCTATCTATAAAACCTGACTATACCGATATATGTATATATTTATACATTAAGTATAAATGTTAGAATACTCTAATTTTGAAAGATTGGCAGAATGCATAATAAAAACAAGACTTCTGGACCCAAGTTTTTCCTCCCTTCCCTCTCCCCTCCCTTCCCTCTCCCTTCCCTTCCCTCTCCCCTACCTCCTCTCTCCTCACATCCACTCCTCCTCCATTTCCCTTCAGAAAAGGGCAGGCCTCTCGGGGATATCAGCCCAACATGGCATATCAAGTTGCAATAAGACTAGGCACATCCCCCATATTAAAGCTGGACAAGGCAACCCAGTAGGAGGAAAAGGGTCTTAAGAGCAGGCAAAAGAACCAGAGACAGCCCCTGCTCCCACTGTTAGGAGTCCCACAAGAAGACCAAGCTACGCAACCATAACATCTGAGTCAAACCCATACAGGCTGCCTGGTTGTCAGTTCAGTCTCTGTGAGCCCCCGTGAGGCCAGGTTAGTTGATTCTGTGGGTTTTCTTGTGATGCCCTTGACCCGACTCCTGCAACACTTCCTCCTCTTCTTCAGAAGGATTCCCCGTGCTCCAGCTAATGTTTGGTTGTAGGTCTCTGCATCTATTTGCATCAGTTGGAAACTGCAGTCCATATGCAATATATGGGAAAATAAAATATCTGTACTCTGGCAAACTGGAAAACCTAAGAAAACAAACAAACAAAAATCTAAGTGATGAAAGACGACTTCTATTGAGAAATCAAAAACGAAGTGGATGGCCGTGGTCCTACAAACAGGAATGACAACTTGCCATCTCTTTTTAAATTAAAGTTTAATGACTCATTCGCTATGTAACTATGGATGGCATTTAATGTCTGTCTTTGCATGTGATTAAATTTTATCCTTGCTCGTGAATGCTCACAAACAACCGAAACCAAATCAAACCAAACCCAAGACCTTTGGGTTCAGCCTCAGCCTGTAAAGTGCTTGAAATACAACATTTCCAACCTCACAAACGAGCAGTAGAGCTAAGCAAAGTGAAAATTTTTGGCATTTCTTGAATTTCTCAGAGAACCAAGATTGCAACCCACCCCTTCAGAGTCTGGCGAGGTGGTGGTCTCCTGCAGTTGGGACATGCACAGGAGCAGGAACCAAGGTATCAGGAACTGGCTGGAAGGAATAAATGATCATTGCGGTCAGTTTCTGAAGCACAGTGTGTATTAGTTCGACACTGAGACACCCACTCCAAGATGTCCCATTTTAGGTGACAGATGCTAGTAAAGAAGGTAGTGGAGATATAGAACTCTGTGGCTTGGAGTCAGTCTCCCTCTGGACTCTAGGACTTCCAGGACTCATTGTTTATGGAAGAATTTATGCTCTCCACAGCAGAATGACAGTTTAATTAATTTCAGCCCACAGTAAAAAGTTCTTTGAAAGGACTGGTCCTGATGTTGGAAATTCCTGCCCAAGTCGCTCCTGAATCAGAATGTGGACTTTGCTGCCCTCTGCTGTTGGATTGAGGCAATGCCCCATCTGGAAAGGATGCGTGCCTCTCTTCTTGTGTGATGCAGCTATGGATACTCTTACCACTCACTGCTCGAAGAGGAATTTCTGCAAACTTCCAGGGAATTTAAAGGTTTTTTAGCACGGCGTTTTGCATATTACAAGTGTATAGTCCCAACCTGAACCCATAATATTTAGTGTTACGGCACGAAACTCGTGTGTAGGATACTGGGGGGTGCTTAGCTTTTAGTGTTTTGTCTTAACTTTCTCTGGGCTGAAAGCTACCAGTGCCCTATTAATTTCAGCAGAGACAAGGGATTCCCTCATCACCTTGCACTCACAATTCAGTCCCTCTCAGGAAAACACCTGACCCAAATTGTCAATAGTGCCAAGGTTGGGGAATTCAGATTGCTGTTTATCATGCCTATGTTTTATGTATCTATTTTGTCACTGTGCATGGCATAAAGCAAGGAAACTATACATCTATGATTATTATTCTGGTGATTCCAGGCAGTGGAAGACACGTTCTGTTTTTATCACGATAGCCATTTCTCACTTTTCCTTGGTAACGGAGACCGTTATTCACAAGGCGTTATGTTCATGTCTTATTTTTCTTTCAATATAAGGATGGTCATATTGCATAATTTTAGTTAATGAATTGTCTCCCAGCAGAGCTTCTCTTTTCCCTGAAGAAAAAGAAAACACCAAAATAAAACAGGCTTTTTCCTCCCATGTCCTTGTCTCGTCTGCAATCCTGACACAGTTGCTGGACCTAAAGCAACCGCCTTGAAGATGTTCAGTTAAAAATCCACATGGTATGTGGTGGTATGGGGGAGGGAAAGATGTGTGTATCCGGCCCGCCCCCCTACCTGAGAGGGCGAGAGAAATGGCCCGGGTTCGAGAGAGTTGGAGAACTAGCCCTGCCACACCCCAGCTGCAACACACAAGAGAGCGAGCCCCGCAGACTGCCAGGGCACCATACTAGAGCTAACCCTGTTGTCAGGGGCACAGATGAGCCAGCCCTGAGGGCATGAGATCTGGAGCGCCGACACCCCGCCCACCCTCATATGCCCCTCCAGCAATCGCGAGAGAGGGCCCTGCAAGTCCCCTAGGCAAGAGAGTGGAGCTGACCTTGGTGGTGTGAGTGTGAGTGAGCCGGACCAAGGGCACGAGAGCAGAAGATCTGGCCCAGCTCCTTGCTGCGGGCTGTGTTGGGTAAACCCAGCTGCCACCCAGGACCGGAGCTATGAGTTGGCCCACCCCAACAACCACCTCATCTGTGAACCATTAGAGCATGAGATGGGGATGAAGCTACAGGTCCAAAACTGCAGGATCTAAACACACACACACACACACACACACACACACACACACACACACACACACACACACACAGGAGGAGCCCCAGTGAGAGCCCATTATTGATGGTGTAGCGATGGCCAGAGGTCTTGACCCAGAACAATGACTCAGGGCAAATGAAGATGAATGGACTAAAGGGTGTAGTGTGTGACTCATCAGGCCACACACCACAGCTTCCCCTCCCACTCACCCCTTTGTTTTATGTGTTTGGTTTGGTTTTGGGTTTTCTTTTAAATTTTGTTTTGTTTTGAGGGGAGGAGGTTGTAAGGGCAGTGGGTGGATGCAGGAAGACGGGGAGACAGGTGGGATCAGGATACATGATGTGAAATCCTCCGCAAGGAATTAATAAAAGTTAAAAAAAAAAGTCCACATGGTAGAGTCGATAGTACAGAAGGAAAAAAGAAACCCAGGGAAAGAGAGAGGCTCCATTTCTTGCGATGTGATGGACCAGATACACACACCATCCTTCACCCGTAAAGAACTGTTGAATCCTACCAAATATGTTATAAAGGACCTTTCCTCTAAGCCATCTCTCAATTTTGCAAGATGGCAAGGAAACCCCCAACTAAATGAACTGTACGAATGCTTGTTTTAGATTTTGAGATTTTGTTTCAGGGGGACCTGTCAAACTCCGCTGCTATAGACTTTCAATTTGATGGTTGGGCGTGGTTCAGGAGAGGAGAAAAAAAAAAACCCAAACCGGTCCAATCCAGTAAACCACTAGGAAGTAAATCACTGTATTCCTTTTCTTATTGCTGTGATAACATACCTGAAAAAAAGCAAGTGAAAGAAGGTTTATTGGGGCTCACAGTTTGAGGGTACAGTCCATCACGGTGAGGAAGTGATGGTGGAGAGCGTATGAGGGGCCAGTCACATTGCCCTTGCAGTCAGGGAGCAGAGAGATGAACAGTCACTTTGTGCTTTCGTTCAGGTCGGAGTTCCAATCTGTGTGGGTGATGCAGCCAATCTTCAGAGTGACTCTGCTCTCTTCAGCATTTCCGGAAACACTCCCCCAGACACGCTCAGAGACGTGTTTCCATAATGACTCTAAATGCAGTCAAGTTGACCATGACCATCACACCCAGCACATGGAGACCTCAATGACTATGTTTTTTTATGACAAAGTAATAAACCCATTTGTAACATGAGAGGAACAGTGAAAAACTTACCTTCACATACTACTACTATCACTGAAGGGAATTTTTGTTTAACCGAATCATTGGTCGTCAGAAACCAGCTTTCTGCAGCACATGAATCTGTGATCCCTCGTTGATGGTGCTCCAGATAAATGGCAGCAAGCACGCACACACATCTCCCCTGAACTTCACCACAAGTCTTGAGGAATTCCCACAGATGACATCGCAAAAGAGTGTAAACTTGTGGTCCGAGGGGGAAGAGCACCGTGTTTGATGACTAAGAGCTACCGTCATGGACAGACACAAGGGGAACTCAGAACTGATGAAAAAAAAAATCAGTCCCAAAGTAACAAGGAAGAAAGAACCGCAAGAGTGACCAAAACAACGGAGAAGTTTAAGTGTGGGGAGCAAAAGTGGCTTTAAAAAATATGAATGGAGGCCGGGCGGTGGTGGCGCACGCCTGTAATCCCAGCACTCGGGAGGCAGAGCCAGGCGGATCTCTGTGAGTTCGAGGCCAGCCTGGGCTACAGAGTGAGTTCCAGGAAAGGCACAAAGCTACACAGAGAAACCCTGTCTCGAAAAACCAAAAAAAAAAAAAAAAAGCATCTCTACCCCGAGAGTTGAGAGTCTATCCAGATAACAATACTATAAACAATTCTCTGCCAATCTAGACCCACGGCCAAAGTTCCTCAATGGGCACAGTTTTAAAATTCATATGAGAATAAATATAGGATTCGATGAGATAAATGTTTTACAACTTGACTTATCAGTGATCTATTATAGACAAATATTTTCAGTTTCCATTAGTGCTATACAGGGATTGATAAAAATCAAATGCATATTCAGTGACTGCTTTGTGCACATTTCTTTGTGCATTTTGTCAAGTTATCTGACATCCTAGAAATGTCAAGGAGATTCCTCTGACATGTTTTGACATACAGTGTCAAACGCTTCTCTGGGAAATTGTCCCAATTCACACTCCTTCACCACTTACTGGAAACAGACATTTCTAGTATTTTTCCTTCTCCCAGATGATAACAAATTATATCTCGTGTTTAATCACATTTCTCGCCTTGGTAATTGGGGGTGTAGCATCTTCCCACTCTACTTATAGGTTTTTCTTCTTCTTCTTC